TTGATCAATGTAGCCTAGAATAATATATTTCTGAAACAGGAAAAATATTTTTAGGTAACAATTATATTCTTACAAAAAGTAGTGGTGTTCACCTAGATAGTGTCAGGCCCTGAGACTGACTTCCAGAATCAAATCAATGAAGAATTCAAATAGACAAAACTAAACATGAATGGAAAACATAATTCATTTAGCTTTTCTGTACCACCTAAGCAGTAGAAGACAAACAGCTCTTTTCCTTAATATTCACACTACTAAATATATTCCTTATATTTGCAAAACTAGCTATAATTCTAAACAAATTTCCAAAATCAATAGCTTCTTTAGGTCATAAACTTTTAAGCATTAAATAAAAAGAAGTAATTGTAACATTCCCCAAGACCATTGTGGGGTGTCTGTACACTGTATGAAGATGTATTGCTGTGGTTGGTGTAATAAGAAGCTGAAGGTCCAATAGCTAGCCAGGAGATATAGGCGGGATTTCCAGGGCGAAAAAGGAAGAGGAGGAAGAACCTAAGCACACAGGAGACACTGCAAGACATGAATAGGAAATGGGAGGTGCAAGATGAAAGGTGCAAAATGCCAAGTGATAGAATGTTGATTAATATAAATGGGTTAATTTAAGTTAAACAGCAAGTTAGGAACAAGCCTAAGTTATAGGCCAAGCTCTCATAATTAATAAGAAATCTCCATGTCATTATTTGGGAGCTGGCTGGAGGGGCAGAGAAAGACTTGTTACATCAGACTTCACTTAAAACAAGGTGTTTTTATAAGTTCCTGTTATGACCAAAAGTTCCCTCTCTAAATTTACCATTGAAGGAGATGTGGAAAATAATAATTAAGTGGGTGCAAGGTACAAGTGAATGTATGACTCATAGTTCACAAAGTAAAATGGATTGGGGAAAAGGCACAGGAAGGAGAGGAGCAAATAATGGATTCTGGATGAAATGAAGACCTTCTGTGTCCAAGGACTGTCACCAGTTCTTTATTACTTGAGGATTAAGGGAATAGTGAATAAAGCTGCCTGCCAGACAGCTGAAAGGGTAAAAATAACATTATCTCTATGTGTGCCTCACTTGAAAATTTTCAGAAATAACATTCATAAAATTAAACTTTCTATTAAAAGTTCGTGGAATATCAAACTAAAATCAGAACAATGGAAATGTCAAAATAAACTAGGATCAGATTTTCCCCAGAACCTGAACAGAATGAAACAACAGCGTGGGTCAAGATGTAGAATCACCTACACTTGTTCCACTTGGTTTCAGAAAAAAGCAAATACAGTAAAGATTTACTAGGGGAGTCGACAGGGTTTCTTTTTGTTTCTTTTTCTGATATATCAGTTAGCACAAAACAAATGTTAGCACTCCCAAGAGAGATCAGCAAATTGACAAAATGTGCTTTCATTGTTGAGGTCCAGAAACCAATTAGAAGCCACTCACACCCAGTCCCCACCTTGTACTTCCACTTGTGTGTATGTATGCATAAAATACAACATATATATTTCAATAATTTAAGTACATTTAGAATTACTTCCCAGCCCTTAGACTAATATTATGCATAAGTGTTGCTGGAGATTTCTGTCTCAGCCTGGTCCCACTGCCACTTCAGCCCCAATATCAACACATAATGGCTAGGGCTTCTTATTGCCTAGCTCTGTCTTAATTATTAACTCATTTCTATTCATTTAAGTAATTCCACATGGTCTTATCTTTCTGGAGAAGGGTACAGACCTGTTACTTCTTCCTCCAATACACAGAACCTCCCTCTGCCTACCTTTCTCAGAATTCTCCTCATCTCCTAGTCATGCCTATCCTCCTGCCTCTATTAGCCAAACAGTGTTTTGTTCATCAACCAATAAGAGAAACATATACAGAAGGACATCCTCCATCACATAAGTTGCCCTTTAACATGGGTTTTGTTAACTTTCCATTATCAGTCTTTATGGGAAATAAAATTTCTTCTCATAAAATTTTATGCAACGGTAAGTTTCACCTTTTGTGAAGGTATTTAAATCTATATTTACATGTATTTAGAGTAACTACTATTTGACAGCATTTACCAAAGGCCTTACACACATGAATTCTTTTGAAAAAGTCAGATAAATTTTGTTAATTATATATTGCCTGGTGTGAGGTAAACAAAACACTTTTGTGATAAAACAAATATACCTCCTATTACTTGGAGATGAGTAACATCGAATGAGTCTAGTTTACTTGAACCTAAAAAAATCTCTAGAAAAATAAATAATTCAAGAATTCTGTGTTTGTGCATGTATTGTCCAAGCCAGACATAATTCTAGAATCCTTGCTCTTAACAATGAATCAGCATGTCTCACATATACTGAAAAAAACAATGTGTGCTTTTTCCCCTTTTATTGTTGTTATACTGTTTATTATTGTTATTACTGAAAGGGAGTCTCACTATGTAGACCTGGCTGGGCTCAAATGCAGAGATCTACCTGTTCCTACCTCCCAAGCACTGGGATTAAATGAATAAGCCAGTAGGCCCAAGGACTATCTCAGATATATAGGTATATAAATATATAAATGTAAACATATATACATATATTCAGTAGTGAAGATAAGAGATACCATTTCTGAAGTCAATATATAAGGAAATTAACATTATTTTAAGCTGACAATTAGCATGGTAGGTTTCTTTAATGAATATACAAAATTATCAGAAGATTATATTTTTTCTTTTTAAGTATTATATGCCTAACATTTGTGCGATCTCTCTATATAGGCTTAACATATTTCATAAAATTTCATTTAATCCTGCCTATAAAACTATTAGTAAGGTAGGGATGATGGTTAATTTCATGTATCAATATAATCAAGTCAAAGTGTCCAAATGTGATCAAACACTAGTCTAGAAGTTTCTCTGAAGGTGATTTTAGAAAAATAGTAATATTTGAACTGGCAAGCTTTAAGCAAAGTTAATTACCTTTCATAACACGGACAGAACAAAAAAAAAAAAAAACTAAAACAAAGAGTGATCGATACTAAAATAAGAAATACTGCAGTTCTTTTGTACTCAAGCAGTTACTTCCCTGGGTCTCTAGCATGTCAACCACTCCTGTAGAGAAAGGACTCTATAATTTGCATATGTCAATTCTTTAATATCTCCCTGTCTATCTTCTACCCTCACTGTCTGTCTCCCTGTTTGCATCCTTCTCCTCTTAGCACTCTCCCACTCTTTTCCTTCCCTCTCCTACTCCACATGAGCAGACATCCACAAAGACATACATATATCAGTCTTCCCTTACCCACCATTTCACTTTCTATAATTCAGTCACACAGAGAAGTCTTTCCAGATGTCAGTGATTCATAAGTTTTAAACTGCCCATCCATTAAGTAGAATGAGGAAAATTTCATGCCAGCCTACTCTTCTCATCCCATCTAAAACATGAATTATCTGTCTGTCCAGTGTATGCACATTATATATGCTACCTACTGTTGATTGTTTATCAACAGCCTTCTGTATTGCTTGTAATTAAGAAACCTTTGTGCACTAAATAAGGACCTCTAAATTCTAGTATTGTGATACTGGTAAAACAATGGCATTATTACACACATACACACATACACACACACACACACACACAGAGAGAGAGAGAGAGAGAGAGAGAGAGAGAGAGAAAGAGAGAGAGAGAGAGAGCTCAAACACCAGACATCTAATCTATTGCTTAAAGGTTCATATGTTGGACACTTGTTCTTTGGTGTGGTAATGATAAGAGGTCCTTGTTCTTTCAACTACTCTAGCAGCAGGAGGGTTAGGGTCATCAAGGATACTACTCTCAGAAAAAAAAATGATAGACTTCTTACACCAGACTTGTTAAAATTAATAAGACTGGTCTCTCCTCATGGTTTAGCTTCCCATCTCACTAGGCAAGTCTCTCCCTAATGCTATTCACTATCATGTGATACAGACAAGAAAGTCCCCATTATATCAACGGCCAATGGATGTGATATTCAGCCTCCAAAACTGAGGCTACACAAATCTCTTTCCATTACAATTCACCATGATTCAGGTATTTGTTACACATTTGGAACACACACACACACACACACACACACACACACACACACACACACACACACAGGTTTGGAATATCTGGAGATTTCTGAATGACACAGATGAGTACTGGATGTAGACCTAAGAAAATAGCAACAGGGATTCAAATACCAATCTTGTCTCTAATCATTCCTAAAAAGATTATAAAATTCTCAAGAAACTGTTCCAGAATTGAGTTTTCATACTCAACCTCACAGCAAGTGTATATCATTCTGACAGCTGTGATTTGGAAAAACTAATCAACTCAGGTAAATAATTTCTCAGATTCTAAACTGCCAATCACTAAAGCATTCTATCTAAGGATATATACATTAGAGAATTAAAATCATACATCCTCACAAAATCCTGTGCACAAATGTTCATAAAACATGCATCCATGATAACCACAAAATAGTAAATAACATAAACAGATCCAAAGACAAATGGATAAACAAAATGTATGATACCCATAACATGGAGAAATCTGCAGGGAAAAAAAAAGGGGGACAAAGTAGGGCTGTAGTTGTAGCTCAGTGAAAGAGCACTGACTAATGTGTGCAACACTCTGGATTTGATGCCTAAAATCACATACATGAATGCATACATACATATACATATATGGATAAAAATTAAAAAATCACATGCTACAACATGGGGTAAATCTTTAAAACACATTAAGCAAAATGAATGTAAGCATAAAAACACTTTAGGCAAATTCAAAATGACATAAAACAGTTTAGTGGTTTTCAAGGTCCAGAGAAAAGTAAACGAGAGACTGACTGCCAATGGATATAAGGCTTACCCATGTTGTAAAAAGCTCCTAAAGTAAATGATAGTGGTGGCTTCACAAGCACATCAATACACTAAACAACACCTAAATATATACTTTTCAATGGTGAATTGTAACTCAATAAAAGTTAAAATGATTTTTAAAATCAACTTACCTGCCCTTTTTGTGGTGTCAAGCAATGAACAACTTCATCCACCATTACTGGAATATGTAATTTAGCTATGGCTTCAGAATCTTCCTCTGCAGATCTATGTACCTTCCCAGTGCCACACAGAGCGGTCTCTTCCAAGGATTCATATTCAGTGTGCACTGCTGCTGTCGTGTGCATTGCTTGGGGACAGATACCCAAATTAAATGCACCAGACTCCATCCAACAGTAAAACAGTTCTTTGTAGAGTTTACAAAAATATGAATATCGAAGCATTCTGTAGATTAACAAATCTAGAAGAAAAAATATGATAATTTGAGGCTTCTAATTTTTTATGTGCATTGGTGTTTTGCCTGCATGTATGGCTGTGTGAAGATGTCAGATTCCCTGTAACAGGAGTTACAGACAGTTGTGAGCTGCCATGGGTGTGCTGAGAATTGAAACCAAGTCCTCTGGGAATGCAGCTCATGCTCATAAGTGCTGAGCCAACCCAGTTTCTAAATTTTTTTTTTAAGACACAATACTTGGGAGAAAGCCCATTAACATGAAAAATTTAAGTCTCATCATCTAAGCAAGTAAAGGTGACTGACTTCCATACATGAAACAAGAAACCTACGTCAACACACAAACATAATTTAAATAAATGTACTTTCTCATAGGGCATGATGACTACATCTACAATTCCAGTACTGAAGCAGGAGGAATGTCTGAGGACAACATGAACTGCAAAAAAATTAAGTAATTAAATAAATACAACTTATTATTTGGGCAGAGGCAAGTTTTGAGACAGGGTTTCTCTGTGTAACAGCTCTGCTGTCCTAGATCTTGCTCTTTAGACCAGACTGGCCTCAAATTCACAGAGATCCACCTGCATCTTCCTCCCAAGTGCTGGGACTAAAGGCATGCACCAACACCACCTGGCCAATAAATACAACTTTTGTGGTAGCTTTATGAACTATAAAACTATTCATTTTTAACCATCATCAATATAAAAATTAGTAATATACTTATTAATTTAATTAGCTCTAAAAAGTAGATTCAGAAACTTTGAATATTTATTTAAAAATTAAATTTGATCTATGACCATAGCACCCAGGGCTCACCCAATCTTGTCTAAAAGGTAGGCTAGAGCACAACAGAGAATATAAATATTTCATTTTAGGTTTGGTTCATCCTTTACTTCATGCTGTTGTATTTATTGTTCTCACAATGCTAAACTAATATATTCAACTTTGCTTTGAGAAAACTGGCACTGGAAAAGAGCACTCATGGATAGCAAACAAGAAAATGTGATCACTTTGTAAAAATCTTGTTATTTGGCCAAGAGTCTCTGACAAGACAGCCTCAGTCCAACCTGCATCCCTGAAACACACACTGAATTAAGTTAAAACTCAACACTCAACTGGGCACATTTGGGCATTCATTTCTTTCTCTACCCCCCCCCAACAGTACTGAGGATCAAATCCAGATTACTCATTCCACATAAACAATCAAACCTTGAGATACACTGCTGCCAAAAAAAAGCTCAAAATAACATAGGTGTAAGTCAAATAAAAATGGATGCAATCAGCATTTCATTCTTTATTGTACTCAAATTTCAAACATTCATTTAACTATGTTCAAGGTAAATCTTAATTTTGTGTGATTGTTTTAGGGACAGGGTCTCTCTCTCTCTCTCTCTCTCTCTCTCTCTTCCTCCTCTTTCCTTTCTTTCTCTC